TTGTCGGTGAGGGAGGAGGTAGGGGAAGGGGCTTTTAATCCACTTGATGGGATCCACGAGACTGTGGTTGAATTGGGGTATCATTTGGTCCGTAGTAGCCTAACAGGAAAGATCGACGCTGATGACCCTAGTGTTGTACCTCTGGAACTACGGAGTGAATTCGATTCGATAGATTCTCTACGCGCTATGACTGAGAGGATGCTGTCTCTGATTGCAACTTTCGGTCGGCATACAACTGACGCTGTCTTGAGGGTCACTTGTTCAGTCTTGGAAACTCTCATCCAGCTCACTTACGTCTGTCCCACGGCCCTGTCCCTGCAAGGTGTTGGTAAGATACTAGAGATCCTACCATACTGTACACTGCCACTTAAGCAGAGAGTATGTGTACTCCTAGCAAACGTTCTATCGAGAGAGGTGGTCAACGACGACGGTGACGACAGAACAAAGATCGAAAGCGCTCTCGCTTCTACTGGAGACTTCCTACAACGCCTTCTCTTCGACACGAATGATGACGAACTCAGACGTTACCTCACTGGGGTCTTGACCAACCTAGTGGCCGTGCCAGAATGTGTGGGGACAACACTGAGGGCGAGCGCGGTGCTTCGTATGTGTGCGAAAAGGAATACCTGGGAGTACTACGTGTCGAATTTTGCATTGCATTTGGAGTTGGCTAGGTTGTTGAACAACGTGGCTGGCAACAACCCTAGGGCCTTGAATGACCCTCTTGTTGTTCGATACATCAACGCGGCTCTGAGGCACAGCTATCGGCTGGTGAGTAAGGTGGTGGTGCCAGTGAAGGAAGGTGCTGGTGAGGAGAAAGAGAAAATGGCGGGAACGTCCGAAAGGTTCACTTTGACGTTTACGCAAGTTGACATGCCGCGGATTGGATTGAAGATGAGCTGGCAGGAACCTCATCCGCTTGTCAAGCATGTCTTCCCTGGAGGGCCGGCGGAGCGTAAGGGAGAGGTGAGGGACCAGTCATAGGATGCTGCTAGGCGCTCGGTATCAGGTACGAGAAGGCGATCTTCTCATGGCTATCAACGGTGACACCGCCGTGGTGACACAGGACTACTTGAGCTGCATAGAGCCGCTCTTGAAGCTGAGGCCACTCAAGCTTACTTTCTGTCATCCGTTTGAGCAAGGAGAGGAGGTGGAAAGGAAGACTGCTGCTTTGGTAACACTGGCACACAGTTTTTTGGCAGTGTTTGATGAGGACGTTCGATAGAGCGTTGACCTGTATAGAATTCATCCATCTTACCCAACGCATCGGCCATTCACCCAACACAATGTGCGATAAGATTTCACATTGTTGGAACTGGGGATAGCCTTTGCCCGTTGGTGGAATGGGGAGCTCTACTCATTCGGATGTGCTCATCGGAACGCTCAAAACACTTACTCGGTGTCGATTGCAGGAACCGACCGGAGGAGTCTCCCGAGCAGAAGTGGCATCGGCTGCAGAAGAGCGGGAACAACTTGAGTGTTTCCAGCTGCTCTTCAATACACTATACGCTTTATCGGCCGATCGAGGAGTACAGGAAACCATACTGGCTGAGAAAAGTGACCATTACGTTTATTGGTTGATAGATGTGTTGAAGATGGGCAGGTACCCGGGAAGGCACAATTGTGGAGTGGATTGTCTCTACCTTCGTCGCCACTGACGGACTGGGTCGTGGAATGCGAGATGCCCAAAGCACTGAGAAACTGCATAGTGTTGCGAACAGGAGAACGGCGTAAGAGCACCGCAAGCCGTGACATCAACATTCTCGTCAGCTATGCTATCATCGCCAATATGTGCAAGTCTCACGGGATCAGCCAGAGACTGTCCGCTGCTTTAGTGGGGAATATCAAGATGGATGTGGACTTCAGAGGTAAGGCTGTTGTATTTGCTGCAGCGACAGGCCTCATCTTGTCTTCAGTCACCTCTTCTGAGCTGGCCAGTGAGGAGGAGCTGGGGGAGGTGTTGGCCCATAAGGACATGCAGATGCTGGCGCTGTATGCATCTATTCTGTAAGCAATTGTGTCATGACCTAGGTGTATAGCAGTGCTTAGCAGTTCCTATTGTGATACTGTGGAGGCTGAAGTGGATGTTGACAGCGAAGCATTGGAGAGCACGATACGACTCGCTAGGGAGCAGCTTGAGGAAGCTGAAGGCCAGGCAACGATAGCACCGATTGGTGAGTCTACTAGTGTGGGGGTTGACATAGGGGATTAATCAGTAGGTACGGCCGACGAGTATGTTGACGATCATAGGGCATTGGTCATGAGCATCGTAATGGAAGTTCTTTACAAGATCTCCAAGAGCCCACGAGACGACATCCGAAAACAGCTCTACTCCAGACTGGTGTTCATCACCTTGCAGGAGTGCATTACCCTCAGCGCTCGCCCTGATATACAATTGAGAGCCTATGAGGTTCTCTACCATATGGCCATCACTCGAATATACGACCTTGCCCTTTGGGAGCAGTTCGACCTGCTTCGGCACGCAGTTAAGGTGGCACGTCTATCAGCTGGTCGTGGTGGCCGTGAGCAGCATTCAGAGCGATTATGGATACTGCTATTGGGGTCTTGTCTAGCCCTGATATCGGGCGAACTGAGCGCTACTTTCATGGATGCACTGGAGAGCTCCGAGCATCTACACTCTTACCTCAAGCATCATTATGATCGACTACAGACGACCGAGGGGACAGCGGATGAGTCCCCGACTCACCAGGAGCTGTGCACCATGGTAGGCGTATTCGTGCAGCAGTTCTTCATGCGCTGTAACATGACCAAGGCTTCCAAGCTATGGGCGCAATGGAGATCCTCGGGCCTGGTTGATCTCTTCCGGCGTGACATCGAAGGATATGTTGAGCGGAAGACCACAGAAAACGACGCCGCTTTCGACTCGGTTTGTTGGTTGCTTGTCCTCGGCTTGGACCGTGGCTTCATGGCAACTACTGAGTGCACGGATTCTGGCAAATTCATAGAAGCCTTGGGCCGCCGGGTCGAGCACTTGGTGGATTTCCTGGCTCCACCTTTGCATCTGGACAATGAGGCATCGAAAGATCTCTGGCGACCTCCTTGTGACGAGGAAGCGGTTGGTAGGGCCTCCATGGCATACAAGCTGCTACTTACGATGGTGTTGACGCTGAGTAGTCGACGAGCTGGCGAAGGAGAGTCCGAGAAAAGGCGGCTGCCCCTAGGCGTGCTGGGCGGAGTACTCCTGCGGTGTGCTCTGGCTCGAGATGAGCGCATAGCTGACTTGGCTTCTGTGGCGGTGATGGAGTTGTCGCGAGAGGCCGGCAACACCGAATCCATGTCGGACCACAGTCTGACGGGCATCATGATTTCGAAGCTACATGACCGATCCATGGAGATTTTGAAGTGGACGGATACCAAGTGCATAAGTGTCGCTACGGCGATCTCCAGACTGTGTGAGAGGGCTCCTGGGAAGATGCTCCGTTATAGAGAGCAGTTGCTGAGGGCTCTCTCGCTGGAACCTGGCAGCATCCATGAGGACTTTCAATGGAGTCTTCATCGTGCTGTGGCCTACCTTGCTCGCTTCTCGGGGCTGCGCGTTGGTGACACTATGGCAGCCGAAGGGTTTGGTGAGAAGCAGTTGGAGTACCTCCTGAGCTGCGCTGACTGGCGACTTCCGTCTTCTGTGATGGCGATGCCCGGGGATGGTATCAGGGATGATGTCCGCTACTACTGTCAAGTTATACTAGTCCAAGCGTGTACTCATTCTGAGTACTTTTGTGAGAATAGAAAATACTATTTCGACTACAAGCATGTCGGGAAGGAGCAGTGCACGGTATTGAACGTGAATCGGTTGTTGACCGCCCTTCATGTTTGGAACTGTGTCGGCATGAGGACGAAGGGCTGTGAGGAAGCATTGGCGAGCTTCATCGAGCTATTGGTCACGGATGAGAAAGTTGATTACTCAGATAAGCGGCTCAAGCTGCTGCTTGCACCGCTGCTGAGGAGCATTGCTGATGCCGATGATGACTCTGACTGGATAGTCAGAGTCGTCAGAACACCTCCGTTCTATCACCTGTTGAGCAATTTTGTTGGCGATGAGATCGCAGCCAAACCCGAGGAGGCTAACGACGTTGCAGTCGTGGATCAGGCGCTGTATGCCTGTGCTCGCTATGTGACTCTATCGGTACAGCAACAGGGGGGAGGTGCGACAGTAGCAGCAGCACCGTGGACAGCCGCGAGTCAGCCTGTGAATGAGCTGCATCAGAAGATATGCCGGTGGATTCCTATAGGAGCCGCTGTGCAATCATCAACTGTGAGGTTCAGAGCAGTACAGTATTTAGGGGCCCTTGCTGCCTTCGAAGAGATGTGCAAAAGATGGTATGTTGAGACGGAGCACTGCCAGCTTCCCGCAGCCCCCTCAATGGCCCACCTGCTGCGATATGAGCAATCCTCGGAGTATCTCCACTTCCTGGCATCGTCTCTTCTCTCTCAGTCGCCTTCCAGAGTGACTACCACGCACACTCTGTTGGTAATCCTCGCGGTCAACTACAAGTTCCATCTCCACGATGGGACACATACTCCTGATGAGTTCAGAGCGCCAATGGGGCTGCTAGTGCGGGACCATAATGCTAGGAGGTATCTCTCGTGCCAAGGCCTGGCGTATCTCCTCAAAGCTGCAGCATGCGATGTAGAGATCGGCCTTGAAGACTTATGGATTGAAGATCTCCTACGTATTATGACCGAGACTGTGGATGACGTTAAAGGATGTGGTTCAGTATTGGCTGCCGCCGATCCAGTCGATCGGGTAGAGTTACTGTGCGAGATCGCTAGGCTGTGTAGAACGATGGCCCGAAAATGGGTCGACACGGAAGGTGTTGGCAAGTATCCAAGTGTGTCTCCTGAATCCATCCTACATGTCACTTTGAAGGCATTCGCCAGATTCCACAAGAACCTCGATCTCCCAGGTAGATTGTCTGGTGGGAGCTACTCACTCATGCAGGCTAACCTGTTGCGGGAGCTTCTATTTACGTTGCAGACGCTTATGGTCCGCTGCAAGGAGAGCGGACGGCGAGTTGGGTGGACTCGGGTTGATTGTCTCTGGCTCGAGACTGTTCTGCAGATCGCCCAAAGAAATCTTTATGATCGTGGGAACTCATATATACCGGCCGAGCTGGCCAGAGTTATCTATGTTGTTATTGTATGCGGCTTCCAATTCACCGACAGACATTTCCCTGAGCTCCTCGGAGAATACGCTTATGACTTCAGCTCTGGTACCGAGGACGCCGAGACAAAAGAGCTCGCTAGTGTGTCCAATGCTGTGCTCACAACAACGTCGGGCAACCGAAGTACTTCCATCATCAGTCGTGCTGTAGCCAAGGTGTTGAACAACGTAGCAGTGTTCATCCTCCAGCTTCGAGAGATTGTAGACGAACGTCAAAAGCTCTGGCACTATAGAACTGTTGCGTCGTGGACTTGCATGACAAGAGTCGTCGACCAGATCGTTGCCAACGATGAATGCGTCGAATATATCCTCAGCTTGTTCAGTGAACCTTCCTTTGCGAAGTACAGTGTGGTCATTGTCCATAACATCTCCGCTGTGCGCAGTGACTTCACCCTATACTGCGAAGGCCTCCTCGAGACAGTCATGAGCTGCTATTTATCTAGCCTTGATCGGGACCACGATGTGCTCGGTCCACCCGTGGCGTCGGACCAACAGCTGGCCATTACCCTCCCGCGACTTCTCCTCGGAACTATTCGCCATTCTCTTCTCGAAGGCCCTTCCGGCGACGCTAGCTTAGTACTTGGTAGTCATAGACTCGTCACATTACTTGAAGTCTTTACAAGAGTACCAGAGAGAGATTTGCCACTGATGCTTCCTTGCATGGTTCGCCTCTGCCGGGATGGTGGCCTAGGGTCTCGGCAAGAGATACTGCGTCACCCTGAGGTGTTGGACAGGCTGTGGAGGGTCGCGATTTCCAGTGGAGTACCAGGACGGGTTAGTAGCTCAGCATTGGAGGCAGCGTCTCTTGGACTTCCGTATTGCCCTGGAGGTCACCACCTAGAAAAGGTCAAATCCGAGTATTCAGATGCCGAGCCAAAGCGAGCAGGTCGACAGAGTCTGTATTTGCGCAAGGCCTCTCGAGGCGCAAGCAAAATACAATCGAAAGAAGCCGACCTTAGCGTGAAGATGGTGGCTCTACCAAAATTGGTAGAGGATGCTGTGTGGATGATGGCCACATATTGCACGCTATCAACACTCTGGTCCATGGGCCCTGAGCCTCAGGGCATATATTACGATGAGCAACGAGCCTTGGATATCATCCGTAAAGCTGAAGATATCTGTGACTCAGCGTTGCAAGAGGATCTGCCTAGATCCGAAGGATCGGAGGCGGAGCCCCACAGAGATCGGCTTGTTATAGCTGCCTTACATCTCCTAGTATTCGTAGCAGCCAACGACTCCTTAATGCCCAACTGTACACCGGTTGTGGACGGTATGGCGAAAATTGTTAAGCTCCTCCTAGCGAGTTCTAATAATCCCAAATATCATCAACTCGTCACCATTGTCTGCCAGCGTGCCCATCTGTATCGGAACGGGGCCATTTGCAGTAATCTGATCGATCGGCTGGGCACACTCCCAGAGCTTGCCGCTGACATGGTAGCTCGGTGTATGGCTGAACCGCTCGAGGAGCCACTACCTAGTATAGAATGTATCACTTTCATTGGCATGTTCACGGAGATGATCCTCCACAAGGGCATCAACACTATGCCGAAAGGACGAGACCTGTGCCTTCTGGTTTTCTCTGGACTCGCGCACGCCTTGGTCTTGAAGCCCGACCTTGGTGAGGAATTCCTCATGCGTGCATCGGGCGCGGAAACACTGCGAAGAGTGTTATCTCTCCTCAACCAGCTCGGCAGTGCAGCTAGGAGTGTGTTACAATGTATTCATACTCTGCTTCGTCTTGTATTTGTCCCCTACTACACGACTTACACTACTCATGGACGCAACCCAAGTCTCGATACGCTTTTCATCACAACGCTATCCAACGCGATACCGCCTCTCGTGGGGCTTCGTCTCTCCGACAATGATGGTGGCTGGGTCCAGCGCTTCATATACACTGGCACTTACATGGTTTATGTTGCCTGTGTGCAAGCCGGGAGTGAGAGCAACGACGAGGTGAGCAGATCTCTGTCCGCCTCTAACGGTGGAGTTCGAACTGTCAGACCGCCACTAGACTGGCCACTGACGTCTTCATACACAGGAAGCTGCACATGGCGCTCGGTAGACTACTTTGTCATCTAGCGGCTGGGCTCGTTACTAGACCAAGGTCTGAGCAAGCCGATGAGATGATGATCAATGTTCGCACGGCTGTGAGCACATTGGTGCTCTTCGGAGAAAGATGTCCAGAAGCACTGGCATTGACACGCGACGACATTGTAAGCAACACTCAATGATTTCGCTACCAGAGCCATCGCATACGCAGCCACGTCGACAACTAGTATGCGAAGGAAACTCACTATCAGGTATCTGCTCTTACGACAGTGCTAAAAACTCCCTGTGTATGCAGAGTGTTTGATGTCCATTTCATAGCATTTGTTCTACTGAGATTCCGCACAGCGAAGATATACTTATCAGAAGCGTTGCCGGTTCTCATTCCAAGCTTGAACCGTACACTGGCGGAGATGACATCGAAGAGGTGAGAGGATAATACCTGAATCAATACTATAACAATAATAGTATATGTGTATCATTATGACATTATCGTAGCAATTTATGTATAATAAGTAATATGTGGTTATGATAGGCAGAGGGCTCGCCTTGCTGATACCAAGATGTAGCAAAAACTCACTCTGCGAATTTCGAATGGTTTTAACGAGCCTTCGCAGCTTGAAGAAGTTCATTATAGCTCGACTTACTCAACTTAGTCATCCTCTCAATGAGAGAATTTCCAGACGTCAAGAAGACGATCATCCAGCAGGTCCACACTCATCTTGATCTTGTCAGATGCACCTCAGATCCATCCTCGCGAAGCTTAGATGATGCATCCTCCGGTGTATCTGAGGGTAGCTGATCAGTCTACCTTGCTCTTGGACTTGTCTAGCCAACAGATTTCGGGAGCAGTGTCACTCAAGAGAGCGATGAAACAGCAAACCTTCAAGAATGCATGGCGCATAACTTGAGGATAGCCTTGCTTTCTATGGCCAACATCGCCTCGTACTCTAATGCTCAAGATGGGAAGGAGATAGCATCTCTGGTTACCAAGGAAATAGTGCGACTCATGTCCCAAGTGTTGAAGGAGGACTTGAAAGTCAGCTCGTCAGCTAGTGATGAGAACCACGCGCAGTTTTCAGGCGTTGTTGTCGATACTCGCTATCATGTGTGTTGGTGGAGGCTACAAAGCCCAGCTCAAACTCGTCGATTTTGGGGTCGCCAAGGAGCTCAATGAGATAGCGCAGAGTATCGATCTTCTGAACAATGTAGCTTACCCCTACTATTCCCTCGGAGGACGTTAGGTAGATGATGTCAGGCTGATGCTGATTCACTCCAGCTCGCAATTATCTGGCTAGAATGTGGCATCGCTCTGCTGTCTACGGATACAAACCTTCGGCGTGAAATCTCAGATGAGAACCCTCTCTTCATGAGACAAAACATGCGCGTCGCCAGCGAGCTGATAGCCCGGCTTAAGCCCAATAGCCGCTCGATATCGCGAGTCTATGGAGTTCTACTCCCAAAGCTTGTGCGGGATGTCTTTGGTGAAATACTCAGTGAAGATTGTGGTCCACTATTGCTGGCTGACGAGGATCGAAAGTCCTTCTTCGAGACTATCCTCCTACCATTGATCGCTCGGTCCTATTCGAATGCACTGCGTGCCCTATGCTATCGCACTACAGGCCAGATCATCACCGCGATGGATGTGGTACATTCAAATTTCGTAGCTATTGCTTGCCGAGCGATGCAAGGCATTTCTAATGCCGTAGCCGAGGCTGCTGCGGAGTGAGAGGCTTTAGGCAGCTGCGTATTAGAGATGCTCTTGTTCTCAGTTGCGTTACCGCTTTGATACTTGGGACTAGTCCAGAGATGGAGGCTCTCATACGCTATTACTTTCTGAGACATGGGGCGCGGCTGAATCTATTAGGAGGTCTGTTAAATCGATGCACCGCGGTCGACAGCTCTTCTAACCTCAAACCGAGTACTAGCCTGGCCCTTCTGAGGTACCTTTTCGGTGCGACGTGATCGTTGTGAGGCATCTATCTCATCAGATTGTTCGCTCTGATAACACAGGACGACGGTGTAGAATGTATCCAATACTTGATGCACCTTCGCCGACTAGATGCCTTCATTGGCCTGATCTCGAGCCGTAGCGTATCGCGGCAGCGCTTAGCCAAGCAATGGCTCATGGATTTCTTTAATGTGTCGGAGGTGAGTCGTGACGAGCACAAGTGTGTTGTGGTCTAGCCGGCTTGCCTCAGAGCCAGCTTCTAGTTGTCGAGGAGGCGGCGGCGAGGAGTACCCAGGAGGCGCTCCTAACGCTAGCACTGCACGCCTCGTCGAGTGATCGGAGCCTGCTGAGGAGGTAACGCCATACACATGCCTCAGTGACCGGTGTCA